GGTAGATTATAAAAGAAAAATTAAAAAATGTTAAATTACTGGCATAAAATTAAAACTGCTGCACATCAAAAGGAAACTCGTAACATTAAAATCCTTAATATGCAAAACTCTTACAAAAAAAAGATAAGAAAAAAATCCTAACACCCCAAAAGAAAAGTAGGCAGAGACAAGGACAAGCAGTTTACAAAATGATCTACAAATGGCCAGTAAATGATGACAGGTGCTCAGCGTTCTCTATCATCAAAGAGATGCAAATTATAACCACAAATGAGATTGCATTTTTCACCACTTTAATCAATGAACCTGATTTAAAACTCACCAATATGCAACGTAGGTCAAATGGGGAGGAATGGACTGTCCCATGCACTGTTGGTGGACAAGCAATATAACCTTTCTAAAATACTATGGAATTGGGCATTAAAATGTAAATTCTACTCAGTCTTTGACCCAGCAACTGCATTTCCAAGAATTTACTCTAAAGAGATAAGCAGATGAGGGTTTAAGTTGTATGTACAAGGATATTCTTCACCTAAATGTCCACAGAAGATGACTGGTTCAATAATTTTGGTATATGCAAACTATAGCATCTCACTCACTGATATTCATTAGGAAGGACAAAGCAGGGCTACTTTTATTAACACAGAAAAACGTCAGCCTCATTAACCAGATTATAGAACTGCACACATAGCATAACCCCAAGTACACACGGATCTGAGTCTGTATGCACGTGTGTGTGTGTGTGTGTGTGTGTGTCTTCAGAGAGCTGTCTAGATGTATGCTCACTGGAATGGCAGAGGTGAGGCAGGCCCTCTGTAGTTGACAGGCAGGGCCAGACAAAGAGTAGATCTGGGAGTCAGGAAGTAGGATAAAGGCTTCTGGAAACCCAGTGCTGAGAATGGGTTGCCAGATCTAGCAAGTAAAAATACTGGATGCTCCATTAAATTTGAATTTCAAATGAACAACAGATAATTTTTTTTTTTTTAGTATAAATATATCCTGTAAAATATTTGGGATATACTAAAAAAATTCTTTTTCCATTTTTAAAATTTTAATATTTTAAAATTCAAATTAACTAGGCGTCCTGTATTTTATCCAGCAGCCCTAGCTGAGAACACATCTCAGCTGCCTCCCTGGAATGACCCACGCCATCCTGTGTCCCCCGCTGCCTCTGACTTAGCTCTAGTTTACCTGCCTGTGAAATGGAGTCGCCAGACTCTGCCTTACTCCAGGAGTTCTGCAAGGAGCGCAGTTTAAGAATATAGTCTTTAGTGCCAGAGAAGCCCCTCCTGGCCATCGAGAAGCCTTAAGCTGAACACAAAACTCCTGAGTTCCAGCTCGTACATCTGTAAGATGGAGATAGCAATGTCTGTCCACTAGGCTGTCATGGGGATTAAATGAGATAATGTATGTGAAGTGCCTGGCATACAGTCAGGGCCTAATACAAGTTGATCCCCTTCCCACCAGACCATGACCACAGCTGCAGCCTACACTCCTGCCCCCAGGGATTACAAATCAAGCATCTCCTGTCATCTCAGAGTTTGACAATTGGCTTTTTTGATCTTTTCCTTAAAGCAGCAGCAGCTGTGAGTTGACTCTTCTCACCTGACTTCACCTTTCTTCACAATCCTCAGCAGCAGTTCAGTTCCTTATCTGCGCTTCTCACTCTCTCAAGGAGGGTGGAGGAGGATCAAACTCACTTTGATAGCAGACTCTCAGGGATGTCAGCCAAGCGGGACCACTGAGAGCAGATCCTAAAGTCATTTTGAAATGGGTACCCTGGCCTCCTGAATAGAGAATGTAAGGAGGCTGTGCCAAGTGGGGGCAACCCTAGCCAGCAGGGGCCCCTTCTCTTCTGGAGCCTGTCTGTCTGTCTGTTTGTGCCTTTTTGTCTGCTGTTCAGCACAAATGACTAAAGTGGACTCTGCAATGGAGGGCAGGGCCGACTTCCTTCCCTGGGAGCCAAATCTTCATAGTCCTTTTGACTCCTGGATCTCCCTGTGCCTCCCAATGAGGCCCAGAGAGTTTTAAAAAATCTACCCAAAGTCAGTTAGTCAGCTATAGGCTCAAGAAACTAGTGTTTATCCATAAATCCCCAAATATGGGATTATCCGGTGTCCTGCTAAGTCCAGTGATAGAGAGGGCCCAGGCCACCACTGTGGTTGCATGTATTGAGTGGCATATTCCAGCAGTAGCTGCCCCTACTGCCTTCTTGCCCCTCCACTTTGGGTGTTCCAAAAGTCAGCACAACTCACACTTTTCCAGGGGCACGAATTGCCCCACGGTCCAGTCATAAGCCAGGCTAATAGGACTTAATGACAGCCCAGCCTTGGCTTTTCCATACCTGAATCTGGTACGAGCACAGCCATCTGTGAGCCACTCTGCTGGGTAGCACAAAGACAACAGCCACACAGACTGTGGAGTTGGCAGAAAACTCTGCACAGGTGACAGCATAGGGACTCATTCGGCTACAGCGACCTGTTTGCACTGCTCCGGGATTTGCTTTGGCCTTGCCTGCAAGGCTTTGTCTTAGCACGAATGACTTAGAGACCATTATATGGCGGAGGTAGGACAGGCCCTTCCTTCTGCCCTGTTGGTCCTGCTGTGGAATGCTGTGTGCTCTCACCTCTGGGCTGCCTCCTCGGCTGTGCCAGGCAGGTGGGAGGAAGGACCCATGGGCCTCTACTTTATCCTAATGTTTTGTAACCTCATATGAATCTCAGACCCTTTGTGAATCTGGCAGAAGCTCTAGCTCAGCCCCGACCAGTAGAATTTTCCGCAATGATAGAAATGTTCTCTGTCTGTACTATCCAGTACGGTAGCCACAAGCCATACGGGGCTATTGAACACTTGATATGAGGCTGGTGTGACTGAGAAACTGATTTTTAAATTAATACATTTTGATTAATTTAAATGTAAATAGTCACATATGACTAATGGTTACTGTATTGCATAGCACAACTCTAGAGGAGGGGTCAGTAAAGAGCCAGATAGTAAATAGTTTAGATTTTGCAGGCCATGTGGTCTCTGGGGCAATAACCCAACTCTAAAGTTGCAATGCACACTAATAGTTATAGACAACATGTCAACAAACAGACTTGACTGTGTTCTAATAAAACTTTATTTACAAAAACAGGCCAGGGACTGGATATAGACAGCGAGGCTGCAGTTTGTTGATCCCTATTATAGACCCTTTGTAGGAAAAAATACACATATCCTTATACCTTTGAAATTTTGCCTCCAATTACAAGAAGTTTGCACACTTCTAATGCCCAACTATAGACCCTGCCCATGAATTCCAGGCTAGAACTGCTGATTTAAAAGGGTTCAATGAATACTCTTAGTCCGATCTGCTCTGCATGATAGAGAAGTGCTTGTCATTGTTCCCCAGAGCGGGCAGTGTGGTCAGGGATCAATGGAACACTTTTTTTCTTAAAGCCTCATGAGCATCGAGGACTCAGACAAACATCTACAAGGATTGTTGAATGAGGACACCACAAGGGCCCAGCCACGTCCTCCTGCGTGTCAATCCCTCCTAGGATCTTGGCAGGTACCAACTCTAGTGTCAGTGACTCATTCCCTCAACCATCCCCAAACACAGCCAATCTCCCCAAGGCCAACGTTGATATTGTGCAAGAAGCTCCTGGCCAGAGAGACTATAAGAAGCTTCTAAAGAGACTTCTGTTAGTAAGGAGGTCGTAGTTCATACTTGGAGAGAATTAGTTTAGGTTCAGGGCCAAAGGTTCAGAGTGAAGATGTAACCAGGATGACCAAGAACGCAGATTTGATATTAGGAAGAACTGATTGTTTTTTCAAAATAAATTGGGCTATCTCAGGAGACTTCACTTTAAAGATAGGCAGGTCTTTCAGGAGCCCCCAGATAAAGGTGACTGGAGTTATGCCTGAGGCCCTCAGTTAAAAAGGCTTCACTGGAGCTTTCTTAGGAAACTTTACTTAAAAATAACTGAGATCTTCTCAGGAGCCTTCAGTTGTTCAGGTTAAAGCATCAAACTGTGTCCTCCACACCCCTACCGCCGGGGTGGATTTTGCCAAGGAGGTAGGATATGCCCTCATTCCAAGTTGTATTCCTGGCCAAGACGAAGGTGGTATCTATTTCTATATTGCTACAGCTTCATTCAAGAAAGCATCACTTATTCTTTAAGTTCTTGGAGGCAAGGGAAAGAAAGCTTTCAAATAACTGGCATGCTTTACTAGGGTATTATGTTATTACTGTTATTAATTATCATTAACAGTCTTAAAATATCCTATTAATGATCTCAACATGAAATAGCAGTGCGGGTCTTAGCCAAGAGCAGCATAATTACCTATTAATGAGATGTAAATTTCCCAGGGAAATGACAGAGATCTAGACATACCACCTTCTGAACTAACATAATAAAGTTAATAATAATAATAGTGTATAATCTGAAGATATTAGTGTTAATTTGAAGGCTAACACCATATTTAAACAGACTGAGAGAAGGGGAACTCATTTGCATAACTCAAACCAAGAAACTCTAATCCTTACTATTAAGGAAAAAGTAATTGTTCTCTGAATGATAGAAAACTAACTCTTTCAAGTTACTATATTGAGCAGAATTTTTTTTCAATGCCTTATTTTCTTTCTTTTACTTAGGGTTTATATCTCTCTTATTTCCAAAACCAAGCTGAGGTACCTTATAAAATTAAGCCCAATAGGAAAACGAATTTAAAATAAATAAAAACACAACAAAACCCAGTTAAGGGTACAGAGAAGTAGATGTTAGCAGGCCCTCAGGACAAACTATTACAGCTGAGCTCTGGTTTCAGTTCTCAGCTTCCTGGAAACGCAGTTGGGCAATTTAAGTAACTGAGTTACTGGTCAGTAACAAGCCTTGTTAGGACACACGCAAGCTCTGAATCGGAAATAGCCCTTTCCGGCGGCCAAAAGCAGCACGGCCCTGCCTGTGGCGATTACAACTTCACATGTCAGGCCCCCGTGGCCAGGACTGGGGGGCACCTACCTTCATAGCTGGCATGGAAGCCCTGAGCACTGACCGCGTAGTCACTGACGAGGCGCAGAGAGAGGGTAGTGGCCACGCTGACAATGGTGGCTGGCAGCTGAAAGCCTGTGAGCCTGAAAGACAAAGAGGTGCAATTTAAGGAGAATAACCCCCTTGGGAACATCTTTCCATTAAGCATTTATTGAGCACCTGTTGGGTGTGCACAATTTAAGGAGAATAACCCCCTTGGGAACATCTTTAACATCATTAAGCATTTATTGAGCACCTGTTGGGTGCGCGAGGCTGATCTGGGCACAGGGAGCGTTATGAAAGAAGCTTAGGACCAGGCAAGCAAAGGGGTTCAAAAACAACGTGGCAATAGAAAGCCAGGGTCTTCTATCACAGAAACATGGGGGGCTACTCCCCTGAAGCCATGGGCTATCCCCAACCTGCAGGCTTGCCTCGTATATGTCTCTTTTCTCCTCTTTGGCTGTCTCGTCCTGCCTCCTCCCTTTCTGGCTGAGGTCTTTTGAGGCTCTGGGTAGATTTCACCAAAAACGCATAACTAATAATTGCCAATAGACGATATTTATTCATGTATCAAGGAAGATAAAGCCGATGCTAAGTAGCAAAATGTAGATGCTTCTTATCATAGACTTTATTCTTTAAAAGGAATAAGTTCTACTGCTTTTGTAGAAATGATAGTGCTTATTATTTTTAAAAGACGAAAGCAAAAAATAAAACCCCAGTGCAATCTAGAAATAATCATTCTTGACAGGTGACATACAAAGAGATGGAAGGATCAATAGATGGGATCATAGTCAATGAAATAATTTCATACAAATGGGATCGTACTGTACTTGCTTTGAAAATTAAAATGCTTACATTTTCCCCTGTAAGTTAAGTGAAGAAAAAGAAACAGGAATGAAATGTAAGGAATTATTGAACCTGAGATAATATGTTTTTAGCACAAGAGTCATTTTTAAAAGATTCTGCTAAAATGATAATACAATGAAGCTTTCACTGAACACTTAAAAATATATTTTAGAGATATTTCAGAAAACAAGTTGTCTACTGCTGGCTGTGCTCCACATCTGGTAGCCCCCATGGGTGACTGATTGTGCCCACAAGTGGTAGTGAGGCTATCCCCTATCTTAGACTCATCTTGCCTCTCCTGATCCCCATCAGGGCTCTGGGAGGGACTTCAAGGTTTACCTTTACCCCCATTTTTGAGTAGTTTGGGATATCTGTGATGCTCCTGGATCCCTCTCTTTACCTCCCATTGCATCTGAATGCCCATATGTCCCATGGAGAGCACGAGTATTGGGTTTAGACAAGTTAAATCAGATATTTGTTAAGGCCCACTGTGAAAAGCCCTGTGATAGCTGAAGCCCCTGCTCTTCCTACCATCCTAATGTTATGAGACTCATATTAACTCACAATACACTTGAAAAAAGGGGAAGGAAAAGTGATCAAACTGTGAAACAGACGGCCTAATAAGTCTCAAGGTCACTCTCTGTTCAGATATAAAAACATCCAGCAAAGGATCCATACCTCCCACCATGTCCCTCCCTTTCCCTGCTCCTATCTTTCTCTGTCTCCCTCATTTTCTAAAGTGGGTCAAAATTTATATTTAAAAAAAAATGAAATCATACATATTAGAAGGAAATGCACCATTTTTATCATTTTACATGGGGGACGGTCTTTCTAAGGGTGACGCATTTAGAGAACTCCCTTGGCTTCTACCTGCCCACCATTCTCCTGGGGAGCTGTCACTGCATGGGGTTCTGACAAGTACTTCACCCACTCGCTATGGTATATCGCTCAGCTTTATGGACTGGTGTGTGGCGTGGAGAAGAGGGAAGAGGGCATATCACTGAAGCAGGGTCATTCTGAGCCCTTCCATGGGATATGACATGCAGACTCCGAGTCTATTATTTTTTGGATTCTAAGTCACTAGAATGTAAACTTGGGACTGCCAGCAACATTTTTATCACTACACAAAGCCTATCTGCTTTAGAGAACATGATATCCCACATAAATACACACAAAGCTGAACAATGAAAAGAGAGACAGAGCCCCAATGACAAATTCTTGAGATCCTTGGTCCATCCTTACACAAAAAGCTATCTCTGCAGTGCCCAGTTACATGAGCCAACATTCTTTGCTTGCTTGCTTGTTTTCCTTCCTTCCTTCCTCCCTTCCACCCTTCTTCTCTCTCTCTCTCTCCTCTCTCTCTCTCTCTCTCTCTCTCTCTTTGTTCAAACTGGTTTGATTTGGATTCTATTTCTTGAAATTGATTGAGTAGTAATGAATACGGAATGAAACCCCAGAAGCCTTAAAAGAAAATAACAATTGATTTAATTACATGAAAATTAAAAGTATGTATAGAGAGCAAAAGAAACTAAAAAATTAAAAAGAAAAAAGAAAACTGGAAAGATTATGTATTACATGTATGACAGGAAAAGGGTTAGTATTCATAGTCTACAAAGAATACTTACAAATCAGTATGAAAAAGGTAAACAGGTAAAGAGAAAAAGGGCAAAGATATAAACAAAAACAAAAGGATGATCCAATTAATTAATGTAAAAAATATGAAAACTGAATCCACAAGACTTATTTTCCACTGATCAGACTGGCAAATTTCCAGGGTTAAGGAAAATGGATCTCGTAGCTATTAAAAAGATAATAAGGAAATATCATAAATTATACACATACATTTGACAACTTAGATGAAAGGGACCAGTTTCTTAAAAAGCACAAACTACCATAACTTTCCCAATATAAAACAGATCATTTGAATAGCACTATAACTATTAAGGAAATTGAATTATTAATTTAAAATATCCCTCCCCAAAAAATACACAAGCCCAGATGGTTTCACTGGAGAATTCTACCAAATGTATAAAGAATTGACGCTAATTCTACACAGTCTCTTCCAAAAAACAGAGAAGAAGAAACACTTCCAAATGCATTTTATGAGATCAGTATTACCCTGATATCAAAACCAAAAATAGTACAAACAATATACAGCTTCATGGAGGAATCTCGCACCTCACCAAGGTATCTCCCATGAAGTCATCTCTGGGAACTGTATTCTTTCCACCAAGTAGAACTTGTTGATTTTATTCCCCTGGTTGGTGCCACGATATTTTTGAGCTGCCGTTACAGATTCTTAGACTCTTGGTACTATATTGACACAAGCTGTGAATAGCTAATGTACACTGTCAACAAACAATTACAGTTTTATCACTTGCAATATATGGAATTGCAGCTTACTAGGCATTTTCTCTAATCACATATTTACCACTGTTCCGCTGTTTCTCAGGCTTGGAAAATAAATTCTAACATGGAGAAATCCAAAAGGCACTGAAACTGGAGGGGATGTGAAAGCTTGGATCTCCCAATGTGGATATTTGAACATCATTCCCCTGCCCCACTGTCTGCTCTTCCTTCACCCACTCATTATAATTGAATCGATTTTAGACAAGCTGATAACCCACGAGTCAGGAGGAGTCACCATGTTGCAAATCGAAATGAGCAAATAAAACTTTCAGACTGTCCCATCTTTTATCTGACAAGCCTAAATACCATATTGAAAGGAGTGACATAGCCTTCAATAGTGAAATCCAAACTTATTAGGGAAATGGGGTAAAATGATGGCAAGAAAGGCCAGAGCTCCCTACTGCTGTTGGTTATTTCCCTGTCGAATCTAAAATATGCAGAGAACAGATTTTGCAAACAGGTGTCATGGCCAAAGATGTAAGCTAACACTCATCTTCCACTTTATCAAGGCTCATTATCTTTCCTACTTCTTCAAGAGCCTTCTCTTGGCTTCTGCCTCCCTGCCTAGACTAACCCAGTGTCTTGGAAACTGGTGATATCCATGCCCCCAACCTTCTCACTCTCCCAAGTTCACAATCCATTAATGGCTTCCCATTGTTTGTAGGATTAAGGCCAAAATCCCTAATGAGTTCCACAAAACTCCTATGATTCAGACCTGCTGGATTCTCTGCCCTATATCCTGGCTGGCTCTGGCCACTCCAGTCTTCTTTGGTCAAGGGTAGGGGCAGTGGTCAGCAGAGAATGCAGGTAACAAAGTGAACATTTCCTGTGGAGAATCTGAAAACGATAATAAAATGAACTTGAAAAGCCCACTCCTTATTATCGCCATGAGTCTCTGCTTCGAACAAAGTCAATTAGATAAATTACCCTTCCCCATCTTTCTCCCCGCCCTCCTTGGTACACAGGTGGCCTCAGTTCCTTCAGTATGCCACCCCTGCCCATCCTCCTTCCTCAAGGTCTTTGCACAAGCTGTGCCCTTTTTTGTTTGTTTGCTTTTTACTGTTTCTTTTTTAGAACACTTTCTCATATCTTCTCCACCTGTTTATCTCATTAACTCCTTCTCATCATTCGAATCTCATTGCAAATGTCTCAACAGTATTTTCAGAAAGATACTTTCCTGAGCGCCCAGACCAGTCTATTTGGCATTCTCACAGGTCCCTTTGGAAGTCACCGATACTTTTCACCACATAGCTACAAGTTTCCCTCCAGATGCACGGTGGAACGGCGCCTCCCTACATTTTCTGAGTTCAGGCCTGGCCATGGCACTGGCTTTGCCAAGAATATGTGGGTGGCAGTGAACTGTGTCATTTCTGGGAGCCTAGAGGAGCCTGTGTACCTTTTGTAGAACTCCCCTCCCCTTCCCTCTGCTACAGTGATCCCAGGTCTCTGTCAGCAGGGTCCCTGAGTGACTCTATTAAGCAGAGGGCCCCTGCAAACCACTTCTGAACATGTAAAATGGCAATAAATAAAATTTGGGTGACTTAAGCCATTGAGATTATTTGTTATCCCAGTGTTTTTAAAATGTAGATTTTATTATTTCTCAAGAATGGTGAGGCCAATAGCTCAGGAGCCAATTGCCACTGAAAAGATTATTACTTGCAGTTCCTAAGAGGAGGGGACACACCGTGCTACCCAGGGCCACACAGGGAAGCAGTAGGTTCATTCAGGAGGTGGAAGGAACAGAAGGAAAATGTAGACAAGAGACTTTACGGGGTTTTCACGGGGGAAGGAATCGGGGAGGCAGCGTGGGCAGGTTCGGCAGCTTTAGGATTGGCTGGTTTGAATAATT